GCACATCTATTGACTTTTATTGAAACTGAATTTATAGTTCTTAGGTATTATGTCCTTATTCATTTTTATCTTTTTATTCTTTGTTTCTGATAATGCTGAGTTTTTCTTCTTTACAAACAACCTGGAGGTGAAGTCCCCAGGTCATCCTTAAGATTGCACTGTTGTGCTATCTGATATCATTTTTTCTATCCTACAAGCAAATGTGTGTATGCTCTAATAAAACATGTATAAAAGAAAGTGACATTTCTTTTGTTGACACTATTTATTCATAAATTACCCTTGTCCATACTAATAATGATAAAGTTGCATGGTTGTACTTTTTTATCGGCAATAGTAACTCCTGTAAATCAGGTAATGCTGTTAGTTAGCCCGTCACTAATTCTCTATACACGTCTGATTCACTCTGGGATGGTCACAGTTGTGAATTAAATTTTGTAATGATGTTCTTGCTATGGTAAATCTATCCCAAGAAAAACATGGTCAATGGCTATGTTGATATTGTTGACATAGTTGATGGCGATGTGAAATAATTCTTATATTTGCATGACTAACAAAATGTAGTGCTAATTCTTTATAAGCATCAGATACTCTCTATTTTTAATACATGTACACACAGAATGCAGCTACCATTTCTCTGTATTATGTAAACATAATCACTAAGCAAGAGTGGATACTATGCACAACTCTCTCTAGACAAGTGGTCTCAGGCTATGCTTTCAACTACTTATCTAACAGGAGGTATGTACCCATACCATCTCCAGACAAGGAGATATCCTACCATTATGTACCAATAGTACATTATATCATTTTATATACTACCAGACAATTATTAATACTGCTGCAACCACATAATGTAACTACATTTGAAAATTTAGAGCGACTAGATCCTGCTACTTCAAGTGCAATGGAAGAAAATAATAAGTATGAGCATGATATGTCATCTTTGGTTCTGCAAAATCAGGAGAATGACTACGAATTGACGAATTTTAGTACTAATGCAAGAAGAGATAATGCTCGGCCAACAGAAACAACACTAAGGAAAAAAGCATCAGAGCAGACATCATGGAACAGACCATTACTTGTTATAGCTGCATTACAGTGCCTCATGATATTACTGCTGCTGGCATTACTTGGTTTGATGATGGTACAATTATTTGCAAGAGATGCCATTTGTCCCGATCATACCGGTAGCAGTACCAGTACTGCTGGAAGTATTGCTGGTAAAATAGTCTTTCCTAACTTCACAGAATGGTCTGATAATATAGTCATTAAAGTTCACCAGAGCCTTCCGGACTTCGATGAATGGGCTAACGGTGTTGTCTTTAAAGTTAACAGCAATGTAACAGGGAGCCTTCCTGACTTCAATGAATGGGCTAACAGTGTTGTCTCAAAAGTTAACAGCAATGTAACAGGGAGCCTTCCTGACTTCAATGAATGGGCTAACGGTGTTGTCTCTAAACTTAACCGCAATGTAACAGGGAGCCTTCCTGACTTCAATGAATGGGCTAATGGTGTTGTCTCTAAAGTTAACAGCAATGTAACAGGGAGCCTTCCTGACTTCAATGAATGGGCTAATGATGTTGCCTCTAAAGTCAACAGCAATGTAACAGGGAGCCTTCCCGACTTCAATGAATGGGCTAATGGTGTATCACAGAATACCCTTCAACTATTTCAGAGCAATATCAACTTCACTGAATATAATAAACAAATCTTACAAACTACACAAAATTCTTCACAGAAGCTCACTAACATTGTCAATACTCTCTCTAATCTACAAGACACCAGTACCTCTACTGCTGGAGTGGCTGATGATATACTACTAATAGCACAAGAACTATTAGTGCTACACAATGGCTCAACTGAAGTACCACACAATAACTCAACTGCTTTACCTACCTCTTGTAAAGAGATTAAGGAGAGACAACCACTCAGTCCATCAGGTGTGTATCTACTGTCAAATACTAGTTCCACTTATACTGCTTACTGTAATATGGAGGAGTTGTGTAGCTCTACTGGTGGATGGACAAGACTAGCATATCTGGATATGACTGATGCTACACAGAACTGTCCTTCTGGGTTTAGACTGTACCAGTCAGGAGGAGTTAGAGCTTGTGGCAGAACTGAAACTATTGCTAGTTGTGTTTCTGTTACGTTCCCATCTAATGGTATCAGTTATTCCCAAATATGTGGTAGAGTAACAGGATATCAATATGGAACAAGTTTTGCATTTGTTGGACCAAGTAACATCAATTCTTATTATGTTGAAGGTGTTAGTATCACTCGTGGGTCTCCTCGTCAACATGTTTGGACACTAGCAAATGGTTTAACTGATTCTTATATTAACATACCAAGTACATTATGTCCATGTTCTACAAGAAGCACTCAGACTGTCCCATCTTTTGTAGGAAACCATTATTTCTGTGAGTCTGGTGATTTTGCTCCTAGTCTCTACACATCTAATCCACTCTGGGATGGTCAAGGTTGTGGTTCTCTTGAAGCTACTTGCTGTGCTGCATCTGGTACCCCATGGTTTCACAGAGACTATGGTAACACTACCACTACTGACTATATTGAGTTGAGGGTTTGTGGCTATACTGATCAAGATACTCCTGTTAGCTTTTATGAAATTTTTCTAAAGTAATTGTCCTGTATATATAGTTTGTTGTTTTGCTTTATTTTTTTCCTACATTTGCATTGCTTTTATGCTGCCTTATTTATTTTTGCTAAGCTATTTTTTATTTTGTGTTGATGACATCATCCTATGTAGTTTATGAATGAACATATGCTAGTATACTTTATGTCAATATGTTTGGGCACTAATGGCTGGTTACACAGCAGAAGTCTTGTCAGCTCACATCCATATAATATTAACAGCTATCAGTGCAGTCTTTTATTGGTAATAATTACTCCTGTGAGTCTGGTAATCCAAGTACTGTTTCATCAAGTACCCTCAACACACCCGATCCACTATGAGATGGCTATAGTTGTGGTTTTCTTGAATCACCTTGCTGTAATGTTCCTGGTATCCCATGGTTTCACAGAGACTATGGTAGCAACACCACTACTGACTATAATTGAGTTGAGGGTGTGTGCTGATTTTGAAGATGAAGACACTCCTGTTGGTTACTACGAGATTTATGTTAGGTAGTGAAGTGTGTGTGTGTGTGTCTGAGACCCTTACTTTTAATAGTGTGATAATTTTTCTTAAAGTGCTATTTTGAGTTTAATCATGTATTTTGAAAAGTTTTTCATGTAGTACTTGGCTTTAAAAATTTTTCAATCACAGAATAAAAATTAGACCTGCATATATACAACTGAAATGATATCAAGCTAGTATACAGTATACCGTACAAGATACTTATTGGTGAGAGTAATATTTGGCAAATTTGCCTGTGGAAAGAAATTGGTGGATTTTATATTGGTGATTTCTTCCTAGAACTGCCAATCGCCAATATTTATTCCTCGCCAATAAATCATCTTGTACGGTATGTCATTGAATTATCAAGTAAATAAATGCATCATTAGCCTGCCAACTGCTAAGTGTTAATATTGCCAAGTTAACATGAGCAGCAATCAGTAGCACAATGACTCAGTTTATTTCACTAAAACAGTACAAATCAAAGCAACAGTTGACAGCTCAAGTCTATTTATAATCATGATCAAGTGTATTAACCCAAATGAGTGTGTTCACTTGTTATAGCTGCATTACAGTGCCTCATGGTATTGCTACTGCTAGGAATACTTGGTTTAATGATATGCCAGAGATGCCATTTTTTCCAATCATACCAGTACTAAAAACTACTGGAGGCATT